ATATATTAATAGTAACTTATATTATATAGTCTAAGATAATCTAATTATACTATTTAGAATAATACTCTAATTAGTTTAATCTTAATCTACTCTAGATCCCTATTTAGTATAAATTAACCTAACTATTATATATTAATAACTCTTATTTAGCTAATTATCTTATTTTAATTACTATATAATAATAAAGAAGATATTATAGCTACTATAGTTCCTCTAGCTTAATAATAGAACCCTATTATTAATAATCTATCTACTCTAAATAATAATAATACTATAGATAAAGATAGTAGTAATAGTAGTAGTAATAGAAATAATAATACTAAACTTAAGCTCTTATAAGCTTAGATTCTTTAGTTCTAGGAATATCTTATAATTATATAATAAGAGATAGCTACTACTACTATCTTTATAGAATAATAAGCTGCTTAGAATACTAATCTTTAGGCTTAAGCTCAGACTATAGCCTAGAGAAGAGAACTAGAAGTATTACTTAAGCTATTATTATCTGAGATATTTAATAGAACCTAAAATAAGCTTTAAAATTTTATAATCTAACTTTAAGTATATTTTAACTATTTCCCTATTACTCTTAATAGTAATAAATAATAAGTTATCTATATCTATTTATAACTTAAAAGGGTTATACTTAATTAGTTTAAACCTATTATAAGGGAATATCTTAATAATTAAGAAAGTTAATAAACTATTAATATTATAATAAGTTTTAACTATTTTATAGAGACTCTCTAATAGATATTTAGGATCTAAGATAAGAGATATAAGACTAAATATAAAATTAATAAACTCTTTTAGACTAGATCTATCTCTATCTTTAGTAATAGATATCTCTAGCTTCTAGTAAAAACTAGATAGAACTAGGAGTATACTATATCTTATTACTTTAAGAGACTAAAGGAAGAAGTTTAGAAGAAACTCTATAAGGAAAACAGGCTAATAAGTATTTATAAATATATAACTATAGCTATAAGAATTAATAATTAATAGTATTATTAATATACTTATAGTAAGAAGATAATCTACTATACTAATACTAGTTAACTATAATAGTAATAATAATCTATAGTCTCTAGAATATATATAGATTCTATAGAGCTAGAAGCTATAGAAAAATAAAAGTATTATAATTATAATAAGATTAGATATATCTTACCCTAATATCTAAAGCCTAAAAGATAGAAGAATTAGAAACCTACTAAAGAAGATAAGAAATAATTAGAAGTAACTGGAAAAACTAAGATTAAAATACTTAGGATAATTAGAAAAATTATCTAGAAAGGAAACTAAATAACTACTATAGTATCTATATTTTCTAGGAAACCCTTACTAAGTTTTTATAAAATACTAGAAGAAAGTAAAGAGGAAGAAGAAAGTAAAGAAGAAGAAGAAAGTAAAAGAGAAAAAGAAGAAGAAGAGAAAGAATAAATAGTATTAAAAGAGAACTAGTAATATATTATAAATATCCTCTAAGAGCTTAAATAGAAATATA